ATTACATAAAAAAGTGTGTAAATGTGATGTTTCTGTTTGAAACATATTTTTATACTGTATTATTTATTAAATTCAATCGACTGATTTATGAAAATTCATCAATACTTAATGAAATGTAATGAATTTAATATGATTCTTACATTTTTTTTTTATTTGACTGTAATTTAAGTTACAAAATTATTAAAATTAACCTAAATTATTTTTAAAAGTGTTAATTAATCTCAAGACTTTTCTAACTTCGTTTGGATTAAAAAAAAAATTTTTTTTTCTTTAACAATACAACCATTATTTTTTCTGTTGTTCCTTACATTTTTCTTTTTCCAGTGTTCCCAAAATGCATTTCCTGCAAAATAGACAGATCAAACTGAGGATGACCCTTATGACATAAGTGTCTTATAATCCAGTATGCAAAATAATGTTTACACCACTTCAGATTTCGCGATTTTTCAAAGATTCCAACATATACACCAATGGACATGTATCCAGGTACTCTGTGCAAAGTGAATGGAAGAGAGAGTGAGTAAAAGAGCCTCTCCAGAGCGAAACGACGAGAGTAATAAAAAAAAGTAAAAAAAAAAAAAACTAAGATACTCAGAGGATACACGTATACGGGAGGCGAGTGTACGAGAGAACGAATTTCCTCGAGAAAGAGCGCGCACAATCGGCACACATGTATACCTATGTATACTTAAATATACGCTCGCCTACGCATGTTTCGGAGCAGAGTTGAGCTGCAAAAGTTCCTGAGTGATGTAAACGTGTGTATACATGTATATGTGCGAGAGATATTATATATCTGTGAGGAGGCATGTATATGTAGAGCCTATGCGTATATTTGTAAAATATATAGGAAATCGAAGAAGAAATATACGAAAGAGGTGAAGAAGACGAGGAAGGCACAGTATAGGGGAAAAAGGAGAACGACACAACCGCTCACACACGAATTTAACACACAGCCGTACATGAATATGTTTGTGTGTACATATATGTCTAAATCTCTGGAAAATTCGACGTTTTGCGGATGACCATTTTATGGAAAAATTTGTTAGCTCCTTTCATGGTTCATTCGAAGGAACGGATGTTTCATTGTCTTCTTGATCTGATAAAAATTTTCGAAAATAATGGTGGCACTAAAATGGGTGAGGGCCCTGGTTATATATTAAAAAATGTCGATCAGAACGAAAATTAGAGGTGAATTATAATTTTAACTTAAAAAATGGCTAAAACTAGAAAAATTACTCTGTTTAAGCTGCAAATGAGATAGTCCGTCATTTTTCAAGATAAATTAAAAACCATACGTTGTTAATATTATTAATTCAAATATTACCTAAGTTAAAGTTTTTCGTAACTTCATTATAAGTAGCATCAAGATTCAAATTACAACACAACCATTACGTCCTTATTTTCACTAGTTTACATGAAAAATAAGTTACTTATACCGATTACCATTAAAACTCATTCCAAGGACATTTAACATTTTGATTTGAGTTACGTTCAATATATTACAACCATATTCACCAAACTCCGGTGTCAATGCAGTAAAGCGTAATTTTTTTCCTGAAAATAAAAATGCAAAAAAGAATAAAAATTTCATCGCTTGTTATTGTAAATAACTCAACAGTAAAATTCAATAGTTTTTACAAATATTAACTCCCGAGATTTCCTTTTAGCAAACTCACCCATATACCGAATCACAATAGCATCGCAGAGGGGGACCCAAGGGAGCGAGAGTTTACAGAGTTTCTGCTCGGTGGCTCGACCAAGCACCGGCAGTTTACGTTTGGTTTCCCGAGCGCTCGCAACGCACATCGCACTCGGATGAAATACAAACTTCTCTTTTCGCTGTGCTAAAATTCACGAGTTACTAACTCATTGGTTTTTTTGTTTTTTTTTTTTGTTCTTGTGTTTGTCTTCTCACCAGTGCACAGTACATCGGTATAAAGAAACTAATTTGCGATGCGTTACCGGTCAACTTAGTGCATCCAAGTGTCGTCGATTCAGGGTTTGTTGTTGGTGTATTTTATTTTTTTTTTTTTTTTTGTTTTTGTTAAAAAGCAAGTAGTTCATCGCATTGTTACAATCGACAGCTTCGTGCATGAATCCTAGCTTTAGTTAATAGTGACGAATAAAAAAAAACTGTTCGACGTAGTAAAAATATAACATAAAAAAAGCACCATCACCAAAGTAAACCCGTAGTAGCGTGCATGTGTATTTATCTGTGTGTGTGTAATACATGCACATGAGTGCAGTAATCGTAGAGTCAAAGCGAGTGCATGTAGGAAGAGAGTAAATAAGACACCCAACAATCACCCGCACGATACAATACACCCCCACCGAGAGGGATACTTTTTTTAATTTCTCCATCTCCTTGGTTGTAAGTGCATATACCCGCGTGCTGAGGGCTGGTGTATATACGTGAATTGTTACAAATAGGTGCGCGGATAAGTGGCCAACGACAACGTCAACAACAATAATACGTACAGCAACAACAACATAAGGCTAAAGGAAAAGAGCCTTCGATGGTAAACATGGCGCGTGAGCGGCGCGAGTGTGGGTGCAGGAGCACCAGATCGCTGATCTTCATCGCGATCCTCTCCGCCGTCGCCTTTGACCTCACGGGTGTTAACGCTGCAGCTGCGGGAGAGTCTGGTGAGTAACTATAAAGTCATATGTTTTTTTTTTTTTTTTTTTCATGCTCGTCGATTCCAATACCGATTTTTCATCGTTATTTTTGGAAATTACGGCGTGTATAATAAGTAACGAGTGTGACGTATATCCTTTGGATCGTGCCAAAATTTGCGTGACGCAACAGGTATACGGTACCGTCGTCTACCTCGCGATTATTGAAGTATATTTTTTGAAATAATTACTAAAGAGTTTATATTTTCAACGCCATTTCGAGGATATTCAGTGTTACATGCCATCGATCGCATAAATTAAAGTGAAGTTCAAGGTCATGCGGAGTTAACGATCGTTTGCTGCGTTTTGTGGAATTTATTTTAATAAATGTGAGAAGCTTTTGGTGAACTTCTAAGCAAGTACCGATCGCTACAATGAAAACAACAGTTTAACGCGATACGAGACAAAGCACGTGCCGATCAATCATTCGTTGCACGTAATTATTCCCTCCCAAAGTTATTTTAAATAAAAAAATTATGTATTTAAAATACAAAAGGCAATAAAAAATTCCTTCGATGGATGATTCACGTGCAAGTGGGCGCTTCGAAGGCGCCAAAACACTTTTTCGAGAGTAGCTTGTTTGGACTTTCAGAAATCCGCATGACGTCAATGGGACCATGGATTTATTTTCTGTGGTTTGGAGATACACGCGTGAGTTTTTTTGGGTGGGCAGGGGGTTCTCGTTCTGTTAAAATGATACACGTATACGTGTAACTGTGGTTTTGAGAAAAAACATCTGCGTGGATAAGACAAACGCGCGTGTCTGTTGTTTTAGATCTTCGGTAAGACTAAACGGATTCTCTCGGGAAACGGTATGGTTTACACATTGAGACGGTAGTGTTTGGTGTATACACTGGGATGCCTCGACTCTCGAGGAAATAACAGCGAGGTAGAATAACAATTCCTTCCTTATCTCAAGCAAGTGTTTAAAACGAGGTAGTTGAGTTTTTCTAGCTTACGAGAGCTGAATGTATTGTATCTACGATTTTATCCGGTTTTATCGATATAAAAAAATTATCCGTGTACAGATGTAGACACGTTTTTTCATAAAAAACTATGTTGTCACAGGTGAGGTAAAAGACGAAAATAAATAATTGACGCAGTACGTAAGTAAAAAAAATAATCTGAATTTTTCTTTGTGACAAAAACAACTGTTTCAGTACGGTCATTCTAAAAGTAACAAAGATGGCATTAGTATGAAATGGCCTTGAAATAATTAATTGCTCAGAATATATGAGTTGGATTGAAATTTTATCGTCGCATATTTGCGCACATTCCTAAAACTCCTTACTGAGACGGAAAAGTGTAGTCTGATACGTAGGGATCCAATCGCTTTTGTGTGACTTCATAAAGGACTTCAGTATTCCAAATCAATTACCACAAATGCGGAAAAAAAATTTCGTATTTTTGAATCCTGAACTACCTCAAGACTGAAGACTGATAGTACGAGAACAAACCTTAAAAATAAAATTATTAAACTTTTTGTCAAAATAAATTATTTCAAATAATTTTACCCTTAAAGATAACTTTTATTGTGCAAAAAAGGATAAAAATTAATTAGTTAATTAATTTTTAGATTTATACTTATAGAAATAATAGATATCTTTTTTCATGAAATACTAGTTAAAGTACTGAATCATCAGTATGATTTGAAAAATTAACAGTAATTTTTAACTGGAACATAAAAATACCTACAAAAGACTAATCACAAGATCTAAATCTCAGTTGTTAAAACCAATCAGATTTTGTATTAAGGATAAAAGAAATACAAAATGCACTTAACTTTTAATTTAAAAAATCCGATGAATCGAAAACTACAATATTTATTTACCATTGAGCTAAAAGTACTTTATTGACAACAACAAAACACAAGCATAAATCTCGTGACTCCTTTCCTTTGGCCAAACCATCACCAAAACTATGAGATACTCTATTTCCCGAAAGAGGCAAAATAACAACGAAAACCCATTACGATAAAACGGAGAGGGAAAGGAGTTCCCTTGGAAGGACCGAAACTCTTCGGCGCCGCCATAAAACGAGGGTCAAGCGAAAAAGAGCGCACGGGTGGAATTGAAGGAAAAGAGAAAGCGCGGGAGATGCAATCCATATATATATATACAAACACGATGAGTTTTCGAGTTGGAGAAAAACTGAAAGTGAACGCGGAGGCTGATCGTGGGTTGTTTTGGCTTTTCGGTGTGGTTTTGGCTGTTCTCGATATCGCGTGACTGAGTTTCTCGTTTGATGCGTACAACGTACAATTCTTGTCTACCTTGATACACCAGAACGAGTGTGACCACATCATCACTGTACGCGTAATGTGGCACGGTTTATTTGCTCGTATGTACATTTTCGTTTAAACGAGACAAAAAAAAATTAAGATTGAATATAATACTTTGTACGAAATCGAGACTCGTTCATTGGGAGGGTAACTTTTTTTCGTCTTTGTTTTAAGAACGAAAAAAACAAATAAATAAATAATAAATAACAATAACAAAAACAAAAACATCAACATTTTAATCGTTTGTGCTGGGCAAACATTGTTAATATTTCGGCAACTTAACCATCAGTCTTTGTTTCGACTCTCTCGCATAATTCGCTTGTTGTTGGAAGAAAAAGCATTTAAGGCGCATATCTGTGAGTAAACATGAATTAAAAAAGCAAAGCATACGCGTTCTTTCGCAGTCAATGACATTAAAATCGCTCGTTTAAAAAATTATAGGCCAAAAATATCGTAAGTACTGCACTGGCAGTGCGCAAACACACAATGCTGATCTTTGTCCAATACGGTTCTTAATGCATATCGAAGTGGAAGGACATTAAGTACTTTCAGCTGCACGCATGTATGTGCGCTACAAAAACAAAGATAAGGAAAAAAAAAAAAAAAAAATGATCGGAACAAAACAATTGCACATTCAAGCAAATGAGAGACTAGGTATTGTAAAAAAAAGTGATTTATTAGCCCTGATGTCAATTTACCAAAAAAATGAAGCATGCTGTGAGAAGTATAACAAAAACAGGGATATCTGAAAGTACGTAAAAAAATGAGAGGAACAATTGTCCGAGTTTTTGAATAAATCCCACGTACGTTTTTTTGTAGCTTTCTCACAAAGTAACTGTGTGTTTTCTCTTGGTATCGTCTGATTAAAACTCGTATGTTTATTTTAGTGTCTCAATTGAAATTTTAACATAAAATTTACATCCACGCAGATAGGAATCAAGTGTTGTGCGCTTGTGTATAATTTTTAAGAATACTTGGAAAATATTCTTTTAAAGCATACAACAAAGGAATTTTGCTACGTTTACATCTGCTTTGAGGGGGTTTTTACGAAATGAAAAATCAATTTTAATTCATGGTAATTGATGAAAAAATAATTTTAAATAATAACTCAATTTATTCAATTAATCAGCTATGAAAATCAATGCATTCGTACAACCCTAGGCCAAAAGAATCAGTTTAAACAAATAAAAAATACTTTATTGGTTGAAGCAAGAAAAATTTTTTTAAATTTTATTCTTTAAAAATATCATAATGGTAACAGAATATACGTGCTAAACGCATAAATTGGCATGAAAATGGTTCTAGATAAATATATGTATATACACATTAGATACCTAAAAAATTCTTATAATAAATGAATTAAAATAAACCATTTAGTATAAAAGTAGATCAAACACAACAAAGCCTCACTATTTTAAGTGAACCCAGAATACTTCACTACTTTTGTTTTGATAACTAAAGCCTCTTAAAGAGATTTTTTTCGTACCTACTCCATCTTATCTCTTACTCTCACAGTTTTTTATTTTTTTTAACTTTTCTACTAGTTCTAAAAATCTAAAAAAAGTATTTGTTTCGTTAAAAAAATTGTTTCGTTGTACCACTCAAAAAGTTGTTTTTTCTGGAATTATTTTTAAGTTTCAAACTTCTCAGAAAATTTTTATTTAGTGCCAAAAATTAAAAGAAAAACTTTTTTGTGTATTTTGTCATTTAAATATACATTGTAACTAATTTTTTTTTTTGTATTTTGAGCTAACTTGTGGAGCTTAATTGTGATTTCCAAGGATGCTTAAACTATTAAAAACATTCTAAAAAAAAATTTTTTAAGTAGTGGAACTAAACAAAAATTTTCTAAAAAATACATTTTTTTGTTTCTATTACCGTGAATTTTTCACATTTTTAAAATTATGGCACAGGTCAAAAAAAATTATAAAGGGGGAATCGAATAGAAAAATGAAATTACCTTGAGTTGTACAGAACTTAGAAAAAAATACAATCGTCTGTAAAAAAGATACAAGATATGTATTATAAGCGTTATCTTTTTTTGTCTATTGAACTTATTATACAACACTGCATGTAGCTTTGACGGCCTTGTTTCGTTTCAATACTTATGAATACGTTTGCATTGATGCTATGCACACATTATGTTTGTTGTTTTAATAATTTCGAAGAAACAGAGTTTATATGTTTTAGCCGATGAAGGATACATAATCTCTGAATTGCTGGAGTAATAAACGTATTAAAAAGCTGATGGAAAAAATATTAACTTTTCAAAATATGTATCATCACGTCCAAACATCTTATCTGAATCATCATAAATGTGAAATGAAGTATGATTAATTCCCTAAATCTTTCGCTTGTTTTTTTTTGCTTCTTATCTTTGGTATATTGATAAATAATCAAACTTTTTATATTCTGTATTTGAATTAAGTTGACTCACATTTGATTAACATTGAATGTTTATAAAACAAAGACTAATGACTAAGTGAAGTTTTTACTAACGGTAAACTACGCTTTCGGCCACAAGTGTTAATTTTATCTTTGATATGCTGAATAATTATTTATTTTCACTCTCGTTGGACAAAATAAATTATCTAGTGCAGATAACAAATTTCTCCACCAAAGGAATATTAATTATAACATTATATAATATTTACACAGCTTACTATTGCTTTGTTGTAAAATTATGTAA